GCTACATTCTGAAGATTTCAGTCGGACAAATTATCCGTATCCCTATACTGCTCTCAGCAGAACAGTCATGGACTTCAGTTAAGAAGACACTGGTTAAAAAGGAATACTCTTTTTGTAATCACTTAACAAAATTGTACAGTTAAATGATGGCTTTGAAATGGTGTAAAAAATGTCAATAAAAGTAAAACGTTAATATCAGTCGGTAACAAAACCTGCTTACTTAATCAGAACAAGTATAATTAAGGCGAATAAATGTTTTCAATAGCTTCTTCTTCAAACTCTACAGTATTTATTTTATTCCTTTACGTTCTCAGTGAAACATAGGGCTTCAAGCTAGAGACTTGAAGTTTCAGTAGCAGCGGTGTTTATTTTAATGGGATGGGGTTACTAGCCACATTCCCAACCATCTGTCTTTACTAGTTTTATTACTAGCTTAGCGAGGTAAAGGTGTGTGTCGGCAGGGGATCGAAACCCAAACCACATACGTGATTGGCAAGAATTCTACCACCATGAGACCGACTCCATGACTCTACAGTTATAAATCCATTAATGTCAGCTAGTAAAGGCAAATTAAAATCATACCAATAACTGTAGTGTAGTGAAAGTACAAGAGGAAATAATGGTTATTTATTTTTATATTCAATTGTTTGATGGATATATCATGCAGTGAAACAGGATTATTTATTGGATGACAATATTTCAAACAAAATTTATTGTTCATAATCAAATCAATTGTAACTGCACAACTTCGATTATTCATTTTTATAACTGTTGTTCTTTTTTCGTATTTAGCCTAACGGGGAGTAGAATTTTTCGAATGTATGGTGTAGATGTTGAATTATTCCTATTGCACTTACTCTCAGTTGATCGAATCAATTAAAACTTGAGTTTTCAGACTCGCCCTCCACTTTGTTATTATTAAATTGTAACTGTAGATTTCCTACCTTCTTAGGGTCTATTAGTCTAGATTTTAGTGTTGTGCTGCTTCAATCTAATCGATTCTGACCTGCTACTATGACCTCATAACCATTCCACGGAAACAGATACCTGAACAAGAAATTTGAAAAGTATCACTATACTTACGAAAAATGGGAAAGAAGGAAGTGAATTATTGAGAAAAAAAATTCGAAACTGTTCAAATACAGTTAATATGCTTATGAACGAAAAAAGGTGTGTTGAAATATCATTCAGTAAATAATATTGTGCATTAGTGACTCACTGGTAGGGTGATCTCTATCTATACTTTTGATTGAACACTAGTTAGTAACTAATGTAATGTGTCTAGTCCTATCTTTGGTTCAGACTGAAATCGATCAACCACGTTTGTTATGTGGCTACCATGCTAGGTGGCTCACCACCACAGTTCACTTTGAAATGCTGACATTAGATGGTTGGAGGTAGTCGACAGGAAGCCTTGGACGTAGGTCTGCACCAAACAAAGGACTAGACACATTAGTCAAAAGTATGAAATACATTCTTACTGGAGGTCAATCGTGACCCCGAATAGCTCAGTGATGACGTCTGTGACTGCAGCACTCGATGATGTGGGTTCGGATCTCAGGAGTTAAATGAATTCCTTCAAGGTTGCAGATACACCTTGCTAACTGGCGAGTGCTAACTAGCACAAAACCTAGGTCCAATGTTTCCTGCCGACCGCCTCCAATCACCTAAGATCTCCAACCATGCACGTGGTCTGAGTTTCGATTCCCCACAGACTCACTCCTAAACCTCACCAAGTTTACTAGGCGACGGTAAGCCTTGGAAGACAGGGAAGGTTGGGTGTGAGGCTAGCAACCCTCACCCTATAAAAACATCAAAGGTTACTGAAACTTCAGGGCGCCAAGTCTAAAACGCACGAAGTTCCAATTGGAACGCAGGGAATAAAAAAGAAAAGCTGTGATATAACCAACCAACAAATTAATATGAAATCACATACCATTACAGTGCCAAAGCGTCAAATATGCAGTTATAATCGCTAAGTTTTGTTTTGGTTAGTGCTCAAACATGAATAGGAAGATGAGATCATAATAACAGTTAAACATTAAGTGACAAAATAAGTTGTGTACTTATTAAAATGGTTTATGGAATGTATAAACCTTAGGTTTAAACAATTCAAACATTATGCAACAAGGTGAGAATTATGATAACATTGCTGCAAATTATACTGAACTAGATAAATAAAGGCGACAAGTGAGATAATACAGGAAATTATTCAAAGTAAGAGAAATAATAACAATTGAAACAATAAGGGATAGATGATATACACAGATTGAATAAACAAAATGAGAAATACATGTGGTCAAGGTTGAAATGAAAATTGTAATAGTTTAGCATGAACGGATTGGTTTACTCACTGTCATTTAACTCTATTTAGCATAACATGTATTCCAGATTGCTAATCAAAAAAACACATTTCAAAGACTTATGTTGCTTAAATTAATTTGAAATTCCTCTAATTATCTTCAAAACAATCGAAGTAATTGCGATGTAATGCTTCCTATTTATGTATCCCATAACGTTTCAGAGTTTCAGCTTAGTAAGGAACGGTTTAATATTTGGAGCAACGGATACGATGTTCGAGTCCCAGTAGGAACATCATCACTCTCATTGGGAATACATGTGTATATCCAGCCGACGAGTCACATATACGTTGAAACATGCGTCCTGAATCTTACTACTAGCCACCATTAAACAACCAACCAAAAGAACCAAAATTTCTTTCTTAGTTTAAAAACCTCTACGTTCACTTGAACAGAATCTCTGGAATGAATTACTTGACTTATGTATCTACACTTACGAGGAGAAGGATCATTTGAATTTTTTTCTCTGAGAATACAACTAGCAATTCAGGTCTTCAACCTTAAGAAGGATTTTTTTTAGTTATGCAAAAATCTTATATCACGACACGACTTAAAAGCTGGGTATGTGGGGAAAATAAGACATACTGCCTAATATGCCACTTATACTGCTATGGATAAAGTCTTCATGAAACGTTTATTCAGTAAATGGTTGATAAAAGCGATTTATATATCAAGAAAATGATTCTAGTGGAATCATATTCTCTGATCCGAATGATCTAATCACAAAGATTACGTCGTGACTGCAGACGGAAACTTTATATTAAAGATGTGAGCTTTCAAAATTCTATACAACTAAAATAATCATTTTTTTGATGGCCTTGATCATAACTAGGCTGCTTCCAAAAGTTTATCATCATTGTTTTAAGTAATGTATTGCTTCTTTTTTTGAAGTTGGTACTGAATATTGTTCAGAATTATAATAATATTATTATTCCCTTGGGTTCCAAGTGAAACATAGAGCTTTAACAATATATCTCCACTTTCTTCTATTCTCTGCCATCCTCTTCACCTGGCTAGCCACACAACTGCCCATAATCTCTCATCTCCTCCCTGACGCACGATCTCCTCCATGTCAACCTCGCATCGACGATGCACTCGTCGCTTGTTATTGGGATTTCACTCGAGTGATGACCTGCATTGCGCGCGATGTTAATCGTCAGCCTCCTCAATATATGCCTAATCCACCGTCATTTTCTCTTACATATTTGTTGAGTAATGAGCTCTAGGTGGGTTTGTTGCCAATTCCTTCTGGACATTTGATCTTCAGTATGGAGCAAGCGAAGAAAGCTGTTAATAAACGTTGGCATCTTGTTGGAAACCATTTCGGTAATACGCAGTGCAAGTTTCTGATCCGTATAGAAGAACACACTTGACATTGGTGTTGAAAATCCAAATCTTATTCTTTATGCTGAGATAGTGCAGAAGATTTCCTAAACGGTTTCAGATTGATGAAGGCCTATCTTACCTTTCCGATTCTGACTTTGACGTCTTCATCCGTTCCGTCTGTGATTTAAACGATGCTTCCTAGATAAGTGAAGGAGGGAATCTCTGTTAAATGTCTCTCTTTGGTGGTGGTCGGTGCCGGCTGTTGTTGTTGGTTGGTTATCTTCATCACCTCCGTCTTCTCTATGTTCACCTGCAGTCCTGTCTTCGCTGCCATCCACTTCTGCAAGTTTGTTGGTTTTCTCCTGCAAGTCTTCGAGTTTAGAAAAAGACTATCTTCAAGACATTCACTTTTTATTCAGAATTATTCCAAAATGAATGCGCACAGTTAAAAAGGGATTCTAACATGTTTAAATAAGCCTTTTCATATGAAATTATCAGCATCAGATATTATTTCGAAACGTGTTTACTCACAATCCAACAGAGATGTCTGACTCTTTATGAAAAAGTATTTTTATGATAAAATTAGGGGATGAAAAATTCTCCATTTAGTGTCATTCTAGTATCATAGGATTCTTTTAGCAGTAGAGTGAATAAAATCAGACAAAATCCGATATTCACTCTCATTTTATTCCTATGGGTTCGTTCTCAGTGGAACATAGGGCTTCAAGTTAGAGCTTTAAATTTTCAATAGCAGTGGTGTACCTTTTACGGAATGAGGTTGCTAGCTTCATGCCCAACCTCTTCCCTCCTTACCTTGATTACTACTGGTTAGGCGTGGTAAAAGAGTGCGTCGACCAAGGATTGAATCCCGGTCCACTTGCTTGGTTGATCAGTGTCTTACCAATGAACTACCGATTCACGGACAAATTTTTGAAACGTTATAAATTTTATAATCCCTGATCTTGTACTCTTTTTGACAAAATGACTGAGGTTCACTGACCCGTATTTCTGAATATGAAGGCTGGATTTTAACCAATCGAAATAGCCCTAAACATTTGACTTGCAGATGAAAACCTATTAAATATCTTAAATGATGTACAATAAACAAATAAGAATATGACAAATTAAGATTAAATGATACCGACCAATCTAAAGAACTTAAATTATGAACTTTAGACATGAAAAAAGTATTCGTTTAAAGAACAGACCATGAGTAAATATAAACTTCAAATGGGCGATAGGTTTTTACTTACTTAAATATGAAGTAATTAAAAATCGATAACATTTATTATTATTATTAAGACGACTACTTACCAAACAAGCTGCTTGCAGGGGATGAAACTGGATTTGTATTAGATTGTAAGTAAGTGAACTCTTGTTTGCAACGAATTTGACCAAATTCTGAAGTATTAACACAAATAGGATATCGTCCAGCTGGTAATGCAGGCATATGAATACGAAGTTGAGAGCGATCAGGTTGATCAGATTCTTGAAAAACCCAGTCTTGTCGAGAAACTTCATGATCATCAACAAAAACAGAAGCTCCTTGCATATTTTTATTAGTAAGGCTACGACAGTAAACTGTAAGTTCAGTACCACCTGAAAAAATAGTAAAACATTAAAATATGTTTAATAGTAACATAAATTCCTTTGAAATATATAATAAATTTGACTTTATAACTGACTGCCACCAAATAGCCCAAGTAAAACATAACCACATCGAATTTGTACACGTTAGGTATAACTCCACTTTGAATGTACTCAGTATAAAGGTTTACATGACTACTTTATTAGACATAATCTCGGATGCTCCTTATTTATGATGTTTCGATGCCCAGATCATACCAGCCAATTCAGTATTACTCTACATTTGTCAGACTAACAATTACCAGAACAGCGTTTTGATATCCTGGATTCTAAGTTCGACCGCTAGTGATGTCGTGAATTTACACTCTTGGAAATTTCTACACTAGGACGAAACAGTTACCCAGTGGTTTCTAGTTTTCTTTAGCTCGAATACAGAAGGCTCGTTTCGCATTTTACCAGTTTACGCCGTCTCTGGCGTAGACTGATATCCGGCTGGCTATTGACCAAAGGGAGTGTATACTGCTCAGGGGTCCGCTTCGTCCTCCTTTATAGCTATGAGACCTGGCCATTGAGAGTGGAGGACATGAAAAGGCTGGCTAGCTGTATTTGATCATAGGTGCCTGCGCTCTATCTCCTGTGTGAAGTGGTGTAATAGGGTAAGTAATACTGGGGTTAGGCGTCGAATGCTAGGTAAGGAGGGGAAATCAATAGACGAGGCTGTGAAGTTACACCGACTGAGATGGTTAGGACATGTGTTACGTATGCCTAGTCACCGCCTTCTTCGACGGGCGATGTTAGCTGACATAGGGTCAGATATCTCTATTTACTGTCTCTGTTTTCCATTTCTTTTCACTTTCTTCTCTTGCTTTGTGTCCTAAGTGAAGTGCACATCGGTACAAAGTTCTACGTTGAAAGCAGTCAGTCAGTTTTCTAACTGCTTTTGGTTGATGAATAAGTCTACCTTGGTGTCATTCATGTTTAAATCTGTCTACAGATAGTTTGAATGAAATCAGCCGTCAATATAAGAAGTATCTGGATTTTCAATTGAAGTGTATCGATGATTTCACCTGATATGTATTATAAGGTTACAAACCAGTCTACTCTTCTTTCTTAAAATTATTGAAAGGTTAAGTCACATTATCAATAGGCTAATTCCATCGATTTCCCAACATCGCACATTATACGGAGAATGGAATAAATCGTTGTTTTTTTTATACCCGTTCCCAGTGGAACATAGGACCTCAAGCTGGAGGCTTGAAGTTTTTGTAGCAGTGTTTCATTTTTGCAGGATGGGGCTGCTAGCCTCATGCACAACCTTTCCTGTTTACCAGCATTATTCCTAGCTTAGCGAGGTAAGGGAGTGCGTCGGCTGGGGATCGAACCCCGGCCCATGTGCATGGTTGGCGAGCGTCCCAACCGCTATGCCACCGACGCACAAATATCGTTGTAAATACATACAATTAAAAAGTATATATCTTACCAGTAGTAAAGTTTTGAATCTACAAAGGCCTCTTTTATATGTAAACAGAAAGACGTTGTGCATTCTAAGTCAGATGTTAGAGGAGAAAATCTCAAATTAAAAAGGGCTGGTAATAACTTGGATCTCTATGAGGCATTTGTATGTTGTTTGGGCACATTTTAATCATCCGATTAAAAACCCGAGCGGTTTACGTCAGTGTTATTTAAGTCAAAATAAGAAGCCTAAGAATAATCAGAACAAGACACGTCTCAATTTAATATTGGTGTAAGTAAACGTGAATTCAGGAACCTGTGGTTACAAACTTTGTGTAATCTAAACGGAAAGAGAAGTTTCATTTATATTTATCTTATATTTTAGTATTCACTTGAATGAATATAGTTCGTAATTAGATTTTACCTGCCTTTGGATAAACATTATTACAACAATAGTGAAAAAAAGACATGTGCTTACCCGAAGATGGACCGCATTTTGGAGCTATTCTGATTAATTCTGGTCTAGGTTTTGATGGTTCATTTATATCTAGAGAGTTATCAACTATATTGGAAGACAGTAGTTTGCCATTTTGTTCTGAAGGTGGTGGTTGCGGATGGATAGATTGACTTACAGTTGATAACGGTGACGAAGGATTAATTGGTTTGTCATTGGTGAAATGAAGTGATTGTCGAGCTAGTGGATTAAAATCACTGCCCGTTAATTCACTATAAGCACCTAGTACACTTCCATCTTTCTCATCAATCACACCAACATCGTCATGAGGACTTTGAAGATAATAATCTTGAGAAGAAATAATATTGGGAATAAGGTAATTTATACTTTAGGTAAAACAAAATATTCATTCAAATTGCAAAACAATTAATTTTATTGGTAGACTTCCCATTAAACATTGACATCAATAGAAAAAACAACTAAGATTGAAGAAAATTTTGGTTGCTATCATACGTGAAATAAGAGGATCAATGCTTAGACAGCACACTTTGTTAGCAGTCAAGTTTCACCTTTATTTCATTCATCAAGTATCTTTATCATTACTTTAAGTGAACCAGACGCGCTTATTTCTTTATTTTCCACATTACACTGCCCATCCCATATTAGCTCGGTAGGAATGAAAAGAAGGATACTTCATAATTGAGAACTGCACTATTTAGTATGTGTAGGGACGTCATATTAGATAACTTTATACAATACTTTCTTGTTGTAAAACACAGCAATCTACCAAAAATCAATTGTCTGGTAATTACGACTGTGATCAGAGAAAAAAAGTTGTATGTTTTGCGTTGTAGAAACCCTACAAGAGAACTACTAGTGGTCAAAACAAACCAACGGAGGTTTAAACCTTCACCGATCGTTGGCTGTTTAGTACATGGAAGTGTTAGTGTTCCAAGTCTTTACAGAAGAGCTGTAGAAAGTCTGAAATATTATGTCAATGATATAAATACATAGTCTGATGTTAAACCATTAAGACTAATACCTTTTAAACTATTCCAAAGTGAGTTGACAGCACAAAGCATATCAATAGGCGTTTCGAATGCAATACAGTATGGCTTATACCATCAGCCCAAAAGTATAGACTGTATAAAGCTATGATCACATAGAAGTTGTTAATTCATAGTAAAGTATGCATACTGAATTGTAATTTATGGGTTATTACAGTCCACACTTTCTTTACTGAATTTAATCAGGAGGTGAACCAATTAGTTTATTATATGAAAATTACGTTAAACTTATTAATTTATCAGAAAAAGAGAAATCATTCGGAAAAAATATATAATAAAAAATCCAAGATATAATGTTTGTATCATCATAGTGGATGGATTTTACATTATTTGCACTACAAAATCCAGAATAATAGAAGTGAATACGACTACACGCTATAAAATGATATATAACAATCCTTAAAACTCCAGATCTACATATCAACTATTATAATATCTTAAAACTGCATCTTCATAACTTAAATTAAAGATCAATAACAATTCAACTGCTGCATTCAATCTCTAGTTGAAATATTGAGGATGGTCTCATTAATAGTTACCATTAGGACCGACCTAAAGTCATGCCATAAAATCTGTAAATTCCCCCCAACTAAAAGCAGTCCTAGTGTAGCTTCAAAGAAACTACTTCCAATGCGGAGCTAATATTTATGGCATACGGGTGGTAACATCGTGTCTAAACTTAGTGATTTCAATCAGCCATATGTTTCAAAGTTTGTTGGTAAGTTATTTAGTTAGAATAGACTTTTCATTTATCAGCCTATAAGTTAAAATTACTTGTCTGAGAGTTGACAATATCAATCAGTTACCCTAAATGGAGCAAGTGAAATGAAATTCGAAGGTAGCACCCACTGAGTTAAAGTCAAAAATGCCTTAGCCAGCGGGTCACCCCTACTAAATAAAAGGCAAACCACTTTAAAAAACAAATTTAGTCGTATTTTACTACAGCTAGGTGATTAGTTCACTTTAAGGAATATAAAATACCCATAAACGTTACAAAAATAGGTAATAAATTGACAGTAAATATTTTAATCATATTAATCAGATAGCAAAGTTAAAATAATGCAAGCTTCTGTATGCTTGTGCTGCCTAATACAATTACAGCCACCCGAAAATTATTGCCACCACCTTTCTAATACTTCAACGACCTAATTAAAGGCTGCATGAGCACACATACATTATTGATATATCTCATCAATAAAAAAACTTTTAAAAAAACATACCGAATGGATTATATCCACTGATCACTGTCTTTTTATTAGATACGGGAATTACGGGTGAGCGAGCGGACGACAGTGAAGCTGCTGCATGCAGAGCCTGTGATGCTTTCTTTTTATACCACGATTTTTTATCCTTTGAATCACCATGATTGGAAGACAGACTTATTACACTGCCGCTATAATTTAGTGAGTTAGGTATTGATGCTTTGTCTTTATGATGCAAGCTAGAAATTAAAATAAAAAAGTTACCTGAAATATTTTACAATCACTTTACAACTGAAACAAAGGTAGAATTCAAATCAAATTTACTGTGACAAAGTTTCATTACTAATTTATCTGAGCCACACAAACGTAATTTAACATATAAAGTCAGAACTCAGTCAGCTAGAAGAGATTTTTCATGGATGATGCCATGAACTACAATCATAGCGTGATTTAATGATACCACCTGACAGTCCATACTAAAATACACTGAATGAGATTCAAACAGTAAACTCACTGGTCGAAAACATTAATTCTATAGTCAGTGGGCTACATCCTCACAAACACCGAGGGTAGTATTATTATCTCCATAGAGGAACAAACGCCATGAAGAAGGGAGAAAAATCAAAGCGCACAGGATTAGAAAGATGAATTTAGAAAAATGAAGAGCCACTGTCTTAAAATGCTAAGTTTTATGAATGCGGCAAACTTAGTAAGGTGTGAATGAGTGCCAAGGTTGGACATCTGGAAGTTATGTACAATATGTGTCATATGGGAGTAGTGTCACATCCAAATATTCACCAGAGCGTCATAAATAAAGTTTCGAGAAGCAGTCAAGGAAAATTTCTTACCCGGAAAATAAGAGGTATTTCCGAAACTTAACCAATAAACCATGCCCGGGTGCATTCAAGCTGTTTTATTTCAGCAGAATTCACAAAAAATTTTTTCGTACTTCTTTAGGAGTGAGATGCATAATACGACCTTTTTAATTTGCTGGATTTTTAGTAGACGTTGTCGTGTAGTTGTTTTGAGATTATTTAGCGCGTTAGTTCGGGAATATTAGGAAATGATCGATATGGCTTTTGAGAGTCTCTGAGTTGATTAGTCAACTCTTTATTCTTGGTCAAAAAGTATCCTAGAAACTAAACTTAAGTCAAAACTCAAAATGAATTAATAAGACGCTTAAGTGCTAACTCATGGAAATACTTTTCTGGTTATCATATCGTTGACATACTACTATTATTACTGATTTAAAAATACCAGATGAACCTCGTAGCGAACTTTATCTCAGCACCTCCAATGATTTGAATTCCGTTGTCAATTTTAGGAACCTCCGAAATCATAATAAGAATCTTAGTAACAAGACACCTTCACATTCAAGGCGCTCTATAATTCGTCAAAATCAACCGAAGTTAAAAAATACATATGCGAGTATTAAATACCCGAATGTTAAAAGCGAAATATTGCTCATTTTGAGTTCCAATTTTACCGGAGTATCGAGCGCTAAAAATTTCAGTTTTTTTTTGAGAGGTAGAAACCTACACCAGTAACTCACTGTCTTTATCAGCTAGCATTTTGAAAGTTTCGCTCTTGTTAAGTTGGTTTCTTTTCCAGAAAGAGATAGCCTACATGATTGCACTATGCGGACTAATCGTAGATGGGCACGAGTTGTAAGAAATGCAAACACTATAAACACGACCACATTTTTAGATTTGACCAGATAACATTCTGACTTTCAAAAAGACAAAATGACCAAAGCACTTTTATACCCTTTTCACAAAACAGACAAAATTGAAGGCATAAATATAAATGAACAGCATAGTGTGCAGCAGATGGTGCCACTTATTACATTTTAAAGAATGAAACAGATTAAAACCAACCTTGATAAGCTTAAAACAGAGCCCCTGGAACTTTTACTTTTCGACTCTTCGCTGCGATACTCCTCCACCCAAATCCAAAAATACAATCTTCCGAAGCCAACTTCTGTCTTCTTTGTTTGCTCCATATCCATGATACATAGTCGAGAACTGTCAGTAGGTCCAACGGAAGAGTCTGTTATTTTTGGTGGAATGGCCGCCCCAGAAACAACCACTTGACCTGCATGGTTGTCTTCAGAGTCCGCAATTAAGAGTACAACCGGGTCTCCACGTGTTGCAATTTTACTGTAACATAAAATGATTCTATTACACCAATATTCTAATGACATACATTGTTGTTTCGAAATTCCATATAGGATTGCCATCCGGTGCAAACACAGCTTCTGAGGTGACTTTTTTCTTTCCACCCAGAACAACTACTTTCCATTTGTGACTAACTTTTTCTTTAAAAGAGAAAGAAGTTCAGTATATATAATTAACTTACTTTGTTTGTGGTCAGAACGTGGAGCCACCCGAAGGTTTTCAGCCTTAAGTACTAAAAGAATTGATCGTGATATGTTCAGAAAACCAACCTCTTACAGTTACTTCCTTAGGATGTCGTATATTTGGTGCTAACATGCCAACTACGTTAAAATTTGAACATTCTTCAAATTCATTGCCACGACGAAGATATAAAGAGACGGATCCAAACACAACACTGCTCAATATTCAATTTCACAGAACAAAAATTAGGAAGATGTAATTACTTGAGATAAACTGTTTACATGTTTTAAATGATATTTTTGGCATAAATGCGTCCACGCTTTTGGCTGCTAAACCGAAATTGGAAAATCTGGTTATTTTGAAGAGTTGCATCTAGAACATTAGTTAACTATTTGGTTTTTTGATTGTGCGAAGAAGGCTCTAAAATTTTCATACATTTATTCCTCTTAATGAATTTGAATAAAGCAAGATCTAAAGTTTTGGCGGAATAAAATTGTGCCATTTCTTATTTTGTTGCCTTCTCATCAGCTGCTTACAGGGCAAAGACATTAAATATATCTACAAAAACAATTTTAACATACTTGCACATATATTATCAGTGTATGCGTACATTGATCGATTGATTTCTGTTCAAAATGAACTCTGTGCCCTGTAAGCAGATGATGAGACGGCAACGAAATAAAAGATGGTACCATTTTATTCTACTAAAACTTTAGTTCTTGCTTTGTTCTAAAATTTTCCTCAGGCTTCGTCTATTGTCTAATTCTTGCTTGAAAGAGTCGAATGAAGAGGTAAATACCACTTCTGTTGTTGCTTGCACGAGACGATGACTACACGGGTGAACAAATAATTTAAACTCAAATATTGACTTCACGTCCAGATTTCAGACTTTTTGATTAGAATGGGAGGCATCAGGCCTTTGTTAACCCTTTATAATAAATGCTCTCTTCCCCACTTCTTGAGTGAGTAAATTGAGTGTGCACATGCCACTTCTTCTGTGAGTCGGTTCACTGTTTCATGACTCGGTAAGCGGACTTGTATCCCCCGGCGATAGATTTCTTCCTTAGCTTCTGAACTCTCTTGCTGTGTTTTGAAGTATGTTCCAACCTAGTAGGAAGGAAAAGGAGCAACATATTACATTCACAGTCATTTCTTGAAATTCTGAACGTCGTAATGAAATCTCCCTACCTACCGAATGATAAACAGGAAGTACGAGTTGTTGAGTGTTTTTCCATGGGATATGATGCTTATGCCAATGACCATAAATGTGGTCTTCCTTTAAACAGTTTATAGAATGCAAAAATCCGTCTTCTCATAGGTGCCAGCTATCTGGATGTAGTTTTTCAGCTTTTCACGTGTATATATAAACACATATATAAAGAGAGAGGGGCGAAAGACTGGGAGACACAGCAGCGAACATTTCATTTTTAATCCTAGTAAAATCCCTGCACATCGCCAGTTGGAATCAGAAACTGATACCCCCTCTTTGTCATACTATCTCACACCCATTCACCCAGTGCGCATTGTTTCAGTCTTCGCTTGGCCAGCCTAATGGCTTGTTGAGATATCTTTGCAACGCGGGTATGTCGTTATCACTTTCAAGCTGTCTCCAAATTTTTTCGTCAAATGCCTTGAGAAAGATTAAAGATTCAGTGGCCTTAATAAATAATAATAATAATAATTTGTATTTTCATATATTCATTAATTTACATGAAAATACAAATTAATCCACTGATATACAAGACAAACAAGAGGCGACTGAGTACAGTGACTTGTAATACTACATCACGTGCTTTTGTCCAGCAAGGGAGTTCTGGGCTAATCCCGACTACTTGTCTCCTACATATGAAGAATCCGTTAGTCCAGCCTATCAAATCCCGCTCCATTCAAAGACTGTTCATATCCGTGGGTAATCATGTGTGGGGCACTTCACCAAGTTTTACTAAAATCTGTGAAAATGACGTTGGAGAGGTTCTTTTTGTCCTCGGGCTTGATTCAGCTCTCGGATGATGTCTGTCAAGCTTAAGAGGTTCTCTGTCAGACGTCCTGTCCTCTAGGCAACAATAATAATATGATAGTACACATTTATTCCTGCCTGTACAGGGACACACCAACTGAAGAGAAAGAGGTAAATATTATTTAACTTACATAAATTTGGTCCATGATGAATTTACAGGGATACTGTCAGTTTGTGGGAACGGTCGGCTAACTAATTAGTCAATGAAGCCGTCAATGGAGGTGAACATTGAAAGTGTCTTTTTGGAACTGGTAGCCATTGGTGGGCAACTCGAAGGCGCGAATGGTTCTATCGTGTACAAGTTCGACGAAGACGTACAAAAACAAATAAAAGTACATAATAAATGTGTATAAATCATTTGTTTGTAGACTTTTACTCTTCGGTTCGGAGCGTCTTCGTAACAATAGGATCTTAGAGATAATTTCCTTGACAAGAGCACTTTGAGAAATACAGGAATATATTACCCACTTTAACAAAATCCTATGTGTGTATTGGATGGATCAAAAATACTAAGGAGAAAATAGAGCTTGAATTCAATTCTCCCATATAGCCTTGCTGCATATAACACTGAATCTGTTTGATTCATAGTCAGAGGGCTTATTAATTTAATGTGTGGAATATCCGTGTCATTTCCTTAGCAGTAGCGTCTTAGGGTAACATTAGAAGTGAATTTTACTTTATGAAGGCGAATATTGGTCACAGCCAGACAGATTTTTTAACTGCACCAATGTAAGCCATTAGCGTTATTTGTAGATGCGTAGTGTTCTGTACGAGCAGCTTAATTGGGACGTAGAAAACTGTCTGGAAACTAGCTGGATCTTTACTTTAGATTGTAGACATTGCTCGTACAGAATGTTTTTCAGTGTCCAGATATGGTGGTGATTATGAACCAACAGCTTGCGGGATTCGAGATTTATATCTTAGCACTGTGATGAGGCTGCAGAAATGACGGCATTAATGCCGAGTTTGTACGCGTATCGTCAATTTGGGATTTTCGCCCAAGGTACTGCACCATGCATGAACTTAAGCGTAAATACAGCATTACCACTTTTTTAGAGGTAGAAGGTGTGTTGGAATCGGAGGTCTACTATGGACCAGGCCAGTTCTAGGTTTGAGGAGGAGCTCTAAAATTTATAGCTTTGCATACTTTAATGGAACCAACGAAAAGTCAGGTCGTCAGCTTGTAGTAAAAGGAACTGTCTGAGGATGGCGCTGTCAATTCGATCCAGTAGAGCGATTGGTCATGGAGTCTCGAACTACAGTCTCCCTTACTTAGGTGCCCATGAGTCTGGTTTATCTGCCAGAAAGTTGTCTGCGTTGCAATTATGACTGCGATGTATCGACGTGAGGTCGACGTCTTGTCTAATGTATTTGAGTCTGAAGCGCTGAAGTTTGCATGATCGGCGTTCGTATGCATGAAATTCACTGCTGAGCTAAACTAGGCACTTTCTGAAGCAGATAGTTACTCCACCCGTGCTTTTGGTCGGTCTGCCCAGAGTTTTGAAGACTAATTAACTTCGCTGACACTGATTTCGAGAGTTAGCCATGATTCCGTAAAGATGGTGATGCCCGGCTCCTCATAATCTAACACACTATCCAGCTTAGTCAATTAATTCAACATACTGAATGCATTAGTGTAGCAAACTGCTAGTTCATTTTGTTTCTTCCAGGCCCCACTCACTTTGGTTCGGATACTACCAAACATGTAAATTTATGTTTATATGAAAATAAAATTATTATTATTATGGAGTTTTGCTACCTTCTAACACTTGGTACCTGGGTTTCTCTAGCAGTTGTAGTTACCATCGCTTGACTACAATGCTATAGACTGTCTTTTAATTAGGTCTGGTGGGCATAATACAGCACGGATGCAGGGAGAACGGATAGTAACAAGGATAAAACATAAGGGTTGGTTAGATATGTGAGATTACACAGGGTGAATGCGTCTTTGTTACTGGTAACGATGCAGAGTCACATCTCTACCTAACACTGTATGCATAACTCCAACGTTACTTACCGTATTGTGCTACTTTACACAGAGGATTGGGTGCAGACACCTACGACCAAACGCTGGTAGTATTTTCGTATCTCTTAGCTTCAATGGTCACTTCTCACAACCTAGATGGGCAATATCGTCAGCATACTCTAGGTTTACGAGACTGTTCCATGGCTAGTCCCTAAAGTCAATGACAGAGAATTTTGTGAATACATGTATTGTGAAATTATGCTAAAATAAGGACTACAGTTGTAGAAATGAGCCTTATATTGCATCCTTCCTGGAAATATGACTTCTCTCATAATTTAGTTTCATTACTAACTTAATAGAATGCAGTCTAAAAAATTCATGGAATTCGCAAAATTACCCAAGACTTTTTCAAAAAACCTAGCTAATGTTCACTCAGCAGAGTGAAAAGTGGGTATTGTGGTTGTGTAAACTAAATAGAATGTGATCTGCTGCCGATGAAAATGACAACATTTCAAGGAATTGAAAGTTACAATTCTAGCTTGATAGCAACATTCAGTAGTTGTTAAACGAACACTTGATCAATATCAAATCTATGCAGAAAATGCATAAGATTCTGTAAAACATACACACTTTTGATTTCGCTACGAAGTCTCCATGCAGAATAGATTACTGTAAGGGCCTACACAGTTTAAAAATTAACCCGTAGCACCGAAGTGGAAAAATTTTCTATTTTCCCTTACTGAACTTAATATAGAGTCTTGTGAAGTATTTCCTGTGTTATTAACTTTCTTATGCAGAAAAGAGGGTCCAGACACTCAAAAACATTCTCTAGATGTGGAATTGAAGTGCTACTCAATGCGCAATAGTATTTATGCAAGTGAACTGGAGAAATGTCTTCCTTGAATGCCGTTACTGCATATCCCCGTTAATGGTAGCTTCGATAACCGTCTTTTTTACCTTCCGAACAACTTGTCCTTATTGCAATGAGAATAATAAGTTTCTTTCACGTATGAGCCTAAGTTATTTTTATGAAATAGGAATATTGTAGCAATTAAATATCCTCTCAAAATAAAGGCCACGCAAAGCACAAACTCACAACAGTTCTACATGTTATGCCCATAGCGCTGATGCTTTTTGACTTAAAATGAAAAGCAAACTGAGGTGAGTAAACGGAAACTGAAACTATTGTTGAAGTTGTGCTATGAATGCCAACCACTGCTAAATCAACTAGTAATAATAATAGTATATTCTCATTTTGTACATG